TGTATGGTAAGGATATAAAACTTCCTTCTCAGATGTATTTATGTGAACAAGTGAATTCATTTAAAAGGAAATGATTAAAAATCGGTACATTTGGTTCACAAACATGTCAAAAATGGCAAACTTGGCAGGAGCGTGGGAGGGATAGATGAGTCTGACTCCGGATTGGGGCATCCTCTGGGAGCTTGTGGGAAACACAGAACCCATGGAACCAGGAACTGTGTTTTCACAAGACTCCCAGGGACTGCTGGGCACACTGAGGCTTCAGAAGCACTGCTCCACCGGGCCACGCCCAGGTCCTGGGCTGAGGCCAGAAGCTCCATAGCAGCCAAGAGAGCCCTAGGTCTCAGGGAGAAGGGAGAGACTCTCACAGTTCCTTCACACCACACACCCATCCACATCACACACACACACATATACCAGGACACACACTGCACCAACCAACACACCCATGCACACACACAAATGCACACCATACTTACACTCATGCACACAGTGCATACACACAGAGACTGCATATGTACACATACACATCCATACACCCACATATGCACCCACACATGCCTGCACATGTACACACTGCACACAAATGAGTACACACACTGCACACATGCATTCATACAAGTGCACATACAGCACACATATATGTACACACATGTGCATATACACAAGTGCACACAGCACCAATGCGTACACACACCGTGCACACACATGTGCATGCATTTATGCCTGCACACACAGGTGCATGCATGCACAGCCCTTAGGAAGGGGCTCCTCTAGGCTCTTGGGAGGACTCTCCTCCTTCCCACCTGAGCTGGGTCAGTCCCTCAGCATTTCCTCTACAGAGCCTCCTCCTGCTGGTTTCCACACTCCTGTTTGCACTGTGTTTCTCTCTGTGTGAGCAGGTACCTTGGGTTGTGGGGAAGGGGACAGTCATGATCCAGGTTTTGGCTTGAGTTCCAGAGCCTAGCAGCCTCCTGGGACATGGCCCATGTACAATAAAGACTTCAATGGACCAAAGAAAGGTTCTGCAATGCAGACGTCTGAGGGTGGTGGGAGCTGTGAACAACGAACATGAACTTCACTGCACCCAGGGCTCAGTCAGCAGCAGAGTTTTTATTTCTCCATTAATTCTTGAGACTCAACCACATACCTGGCACCAGGGGGAAAAGATTGTTTAGGCAGGCTCCAGCCACAGCCCTGAGGGCACAGGTACAATGAACGCACTCTTCATGACAACACAGCACTGTAAGCCTTAGACCAGGCCAGACTTGGGGGCACAGAGTGGCAGCAATCCATTCTGGCTGGGGATGGGGTGCAGGTGCTTCCAAAAACGGGTCATATTTCATCGGGTTGGAGAAGAACAGAGAGGATATCTTCCCGGGCTGAGGGGCTGCTCAGAGATACACAAACACACAGCATTTTCCTGAAAGTGAAAACTCGAGGTTCTGGAACCCAGGTGTGCAAGGGTCAAATTCCTCAAGGCCCAATTAAAAAAAAAAAAAAATCCTCAGGCCCTCACAAAGAAAGCAAAGGAGTTTGGACTTTATCTTGTGGATAACTGGGAGCCCTGGATGGTTAAATAAGAATGGAATCACCAGGATAAGCAAATGATTGAAAGCTGTGTGACCTTCGTAGTTGGTGGGGTAGGAATCTGGAACCCTGACACAGGTCGAGTGGCTCACACCCCTGCAACTATATCAGGGCCGTGCCCTCCTTCTCCACCTGTGGCAGAAATCAGATAACACAGGCATGCTCACGTGCTATCCTGCAGGGCATCTTGTCCTGATTGACATGGGGCACGTGGCAGGCTCTCCTGAACTGCTCTTACAGGTCCCTTGGTGCATACAGGATGTGGCTCAGCTAGGCTGAAAACCGCACTGTCCTGGGGCTCCAGCCACCATGGAGAGCGGAACCCCCTCCCCTGCTCCAAACTCCCTCACCACCTTCATGGGGTGCTGGCGCTGTCTCCTTCAGGCTCCTGAGAGCTGACCGGAAATTTTTCAGACATTTTGCAAGCTGGTTATTAAACAGCCATTATTAGGAACTGAGTTCTATAAAAATAGTTATTGCATACATCTTTTAAAATAGAGGTCATAAGTATTCAAAGAAACATTGCTCAGAGGTAATAAATGCCATTTTCTAATATTTATGATACCATTAGCTATGCTTTCCAGGCTATCTATGTCTACTGTACCTGCATGGTGTAAATTCATTTTATACACACACACACACACACACACACACACACTAGTTTTGGATGGACATGATACCTTTATTTTATTTATTTATTTTTATATGGTACTAAGGATCGAACCCAGTGCCTCACACGTGCTAGGTGAGTGCTCTACCACTGAGCCACAACCCCAGCCCCCCTGTAAATTCCTTTTAATGATGCATTAGTGCACATCTCTCTCCGACTCCATGATTAATGACATCTCATCCGTGGCTCGGAATTGGCCTTTGTGGGAGTATTTACACCACGGAAATCGACAAATATACATATCAGAGCTTTTTCTGGAGAGATCAGGGTTAAACACTCTCCAGCCCACATTCGATCCCACCCCGTGGAAGCCCACCCACCCACTCTTCTGTTACTAAATTGGCAGATTCTTTTCCTACTCAGTCCTGTTTGCAAATAAGCAGACAGTACCGGGAGCAGATGGGAAATTTTAGTCAATGGCCAAAGAACAAAGAAGAAGAGCTCACGCTCAACAGGCACCTTCTCTGGAGTCTGGGTGTTCACTAGCAATAGGTGACAAGGAGGTGTGGTCTGCATGCTATTATCAGAGTTTCTCATAGGAAGGGGAGGAGATCCAGGGATCGGGGTGCCATCTCTTTTCTTCTCTAACTTGGGCATGGCCAGATCTATCATGGCACCGGGGGTGTGTTTTATATCATTATAATGAGATGTAATGAGCCAAAGTTTTCTGGAGTGTCAACTTGGCATCTGGACTCTGTGGTAGGGAGTAGGGTGAATGTGATAACTTGACAGTGGGTAACAACGAGAGCAGGTGGTTATCAGTCTCCAGCTTTCACTTTTACAAGCAAGTGGTATCTGTAAGGAAACAGAACTGATAGAACAATAGGTGATTAACAACTTGGAGCTCAGGAGGGGGCCACTTCCTTTCCACACAGGCAGCCCCATCAGTGCCTCTGGCCTTGTCAGATTGGAGCAAGGTGACCTGAGTGACTGCCTCATTTGCAAGCACTGGGTCCTGTTGTGGGGTTATCTGGGTGATTCTTTGTGCTGCCCAAACCAGTACCCCCTCCAACACACTGGCCAGACTCCCAGGGAGCGTGCCTGTAATGAATGGAAGGAGGTGAGATCCCTGCGGCAGGGAATTCAACAGGGGCCTGGCCTCTGCCAAGCCAACAAATTTCAAGTAGTTCTATGTTCCAGGTGATAGACAACTGTGCCGGGCATCTCTCTTGAATGTCCCTGCATAGTGAGGAATCCTCTGGGAAAACTCATTTATGAGAACAAGAACATATAAGCAGATAGCTCAAGGCAGCAAACTGATTAAACGACATCAAAAACAGAACAAGTGTGGGTGTGAGGATGCCCAGTGACCCAAACCAATGAACGAGTGAACTGGTACCAACACTGTGGAAAGCAGTGCGCCCCGTATCACCAGAGCTGAACATGTACCTACCCTAAGCCCCCAAGTCCCAACAGTAAGTGCATCCATCCACCAAAAATATGTTAGGGTGCTCTTCACAGTCTCCTTGTGATAGCCCCTAAATGGAATGATACACACAAATATCTGCATAGTCTTTCCTACTGTACTGTGGGTCCTCCTCCTCCTCCTCTTCTTTTTGGAGGTAAAAAGTTCCAAGGATAGTTTGTTTGGGGGAGCCTCCACCAGCACCATTCCCCTCCCCGACCAGCAGGCAGGCACCAGAAGAATTTCAAAGGCCTAAGAAAAGTCCAACTGCAATGACTGCATTTTGGTTTTAAGAGTTCACTAACAGCTCTGTTTTTCCCTTTTAAATTTCACTTGTTTATTTAGCATTTTCTTATCTCTTACTGTGTAACAGGCATAGTTCAAAGCGTGTTATCATCTCATTTGCTGGGTTAGCTAGTCTTTGGTTATCTAGCCTCCTGGGCACTTACAATAAGGGCTTTTTTATTGAGCTCTTACTATATGCCAGCAATAAGCCCTCAATTAATTCTCACGTGAGCCCTCCCTTGGGCGGGGTATGTTTGTTCCCACTACTGGGGAGGAAACAGAGGTTCGGAGAAGTCAAATGACTTGCCAAGATTTCACAGCAAGTCAGTGGTGGAACTTCGATACTAACCAAGATCCTATTTTAACACAAAGTGCAGGCGTAGTCCGTGTCATGTCGGGTGACCCACTGCACCTAAGCCACCTTGTGGGTCTGGTCCCGACTTGGCCTAAGGAATCAGAATTCCAGGTCCCTGTTCTGGCCTGGACAGTGGAGTTTCCCACAGCAATACTTCAAAGCCTGATTCCATCCCGCCCTCCAAAGGTACAGAGCCCAGCTGTACAGTGGATAGAGCTACCCTGGGCACTGGAGAGGGGACGTCCCCGGCTCCTTCCAGTCTCTGCGGGAAGGTCACGGCTCCTCCTCCGCGAAGCCACTACCCGTTTGCTTTGCCTTAGTGGTCTTCTTCCCTGGGTCTCTCTCTTGGTCTCGCACAGGCACTCGGTCCAACCTATGAAACTGCCCCCGCTGTGGGTCAAAGACCCTTGAAAATGTTCCATCCAGTCCAAAGTAAGCGTCTCCCTTCCCCAGAAAGCCAGCTCCAGGAGGGCTGGGATGTGTGTGGGTCACAGGTTTGTCCGCGACCAGGCCTGGCACCCAGCGGGCACTCGATCAAAAAGGGGCAAGGGGCCGAGGGACCCCATTGGGAGCTCCACCGCCCCGCGCCCACCACCCCGGGGGCTTCCCCAGCGCGGCGGCCCGGCGGGTGGGGCTCGCCGTCAGCCATTACCAGCCTCGCCCTCCGCGGGCGCCGTTAATAAGATTAGCAATTAAAAGCCAAGAGCCGAGAGCGCCGCGGCTGGGGCAGCGGGGCCAGTGGAGTCGGGCCATGGAGAAGGTGCGGCCGCAATGGGGCCACCAGCGGCAGTTCGTGTTGGCTTGCATCTCTTACGCCGTGGGCCTGGGCAATGTGTGGCGCTTCCCCTACCTGTGCCAGCTGTACGGCGGAGGTGAGTGCGCCCAGCCCGTGCGCGCGGGGCGCTGGGCTGCGCGCGGGAGGCGCGGGAGGCGCGGGAGGCGCGGGGCTACACCCGGCTAGGAGCCAGCGCGCCTAGGCTCGGAGCGCGACCGATCGCTCAGCCCGCAGCCACAGAGCCAGGTCGTCCCGGAACCCCCGACCCCACCCGGAGTCCACCCAGAGCAGAGCTCCCAATCGGTCGGCTGCAGCTGCAGCAGGGTGAGAGCCAAGGCGCGGGATGCTGCTCTCTCCCCTGGGAGAAAGAGAGGTGGCCCTCCGACGTGGCTTCTTAGAAACCTGAAGTGTACGTGTAAAACTAAGGACAAAATTACAAGTTTCACATCTGAAACTGAAGTCCCTTGCACAGCAGGTTTGATACCCAGGACTCAGGTTAATTTCCAGCTATTTCTTTAACTTCTTTATTTCTTTTAATTTAATTTTTTTTTTTTTTTTTTTTTTTTTTTTTTTTTTTTTTTGGCACGGGGATTGAACCCAAGGGCTCTTTACCACCTAGCCACATTCCTTGCGCTTTTTATTTCCACGAAGTTGCTGAGGCTGGTCTTGAACTTGTGATCCTCCTGCCTCAGCCTCCTGAGTTGCTGGGATTACAGGTGTGCAGCCATCTCAACGGGCTTCTTTCACATCTTTCATGAAAAGATTAGTTTGGGGAGGGGAGAATGGTTTGGTTTGGAACCATGAGGCAGGAAAGGCAGATCATTCCCTATCTGGATTTTGTGGGTTCTTTTTGACAAATGTTTCCTATGAACGGTTGCGGCAGCTCAGGGGACAGCCAGCATCACCTCATGCCACCTGGGAGGTGTGGCAAGAGGGATTCAAGTCCCACCATTTAAAGACGTCTTTCCTCAGTGGTTCCTTTTCTAACATTCTGCCTAAAGGAAATACTCATAGTTCTCACAGAAGGTAGAAAACAGGATGGCCACCACCTTTGGATAAGACTAAACTTTAGAAACTTCCTAAGCCCACGATTAAGGAGTTCAATAAACTATGGAGCATTCACAGTGGTGTTCTTGGCAGCCTTAAAGTGGCCTGTTTATAAAATTTTATCTATGTTTTCATCATGTATTAAAGTGGAGGGAGTGGAAGTCAGAGTCAAAACCTTATAAAACGGATATAAATTTTTAAACAATTATGTTTAAAATATGCAGAGAAAAGGGAATGGGGAAAATGTGCCAATGTATTATCAGGAGTTTATTTTTTTGTTTCTCTTTTCCCCACCCCTCTCTCTGTGTCTTCTATAATCAGCATAAAAGACAATGAAAGATGTTAGATCCAAGTATTTACACAAAATTTGACCCATTTAAGACCAAGTCCTAAATACTGCTCCCTCCTCCAATCACCTCCCCCCTCAGCTCAAAAACAACTCAACAAAAGGTTAATCCATAGAGATTTTTTTTTAATATTCTCAATTCTGGATCCTTTTCAAAATTTGAAAAGCATAAACACCCCATAATTATGTGAAAGGCAGTTGCTGCCATATGCCCCCTCATCTTCCTCACTGACTTTGGAAGGGAGACTTTCATACAGTTCTGGGCTCAGCATACCAGCCTTTATCTGGGTACCTGGTTCCCAACACCCAATTTTCAGGCTAATCGAGTCTCAGTGTCACATGACTGCTTAATTCCATCACCTAAATAGTCTGCAGGTAGGCATGTTATGGCAAGATTGCAATAAATCACCAACTAGATCTTAAAGCAGGAGACAGAACCTTTATTCACCAGCTGGCAGGCCAAGGGGTAGGCTGCAAGTCTACACCCTTTGACCTCCTCCCCAGGTTTGAGTCTACCTTTTATAGTCCAAAACCAATTAATGGTAAGTGGCTGTTGCTATGATTCAAAACCATAAACAAAGGTCATGAGATCTAAAATCATAAGCAGATGGGGAAGTGGGTCAAAACGACCCTAGTTGAGTACAAGTTAAAGAATAGTTGCTAACATCTAGACAATCATTCTCTGCCAGGGTACATTGTCCAAGAAAAATGGGAATCAAAGAGAGAACAATTTTACATTGAATTACAAGAATTGTCATTTTGTGTTGCCAAACATGATATGGGTACAGAGGCAGGGTGATCCCATGGGAGAAGTATTTTTTATGTGCCATCGAGTCTCAGGGTAACATGGAGTCTGTTCCGTCATTGTCCATATAGCCCGGTCCATAACAGGCACAGGTGGGCTGGGTGGTTCTGAAGTCAACTATGTATCCAGGAGTTGCTAGGGAAACCTCAAAGAACAACAAGAGGAAATCTTGGGCCTGGTGCAGAGGACACTTAGGCTGGATGGGTGGTTCCAGATGGCTGGGGGCTGGGTGGCGGATAGATTGGCAGGTGAATGGATGGGGTGGCCGTAGGTCAGGTGGATGACGAGTGTCTACAGAATAAAGAGCAAACCAAACTCATCTTGGCACAAGAGTCACTTGACCACCTAACAACTCCCCTGTATTTCCACCTCATTTCTTGCCACTCATCTTCTGCAAAACCTCACCCCCAGCTCTTCTGAACAGCTCTCTGTCAGCAAGGGCCAACTTCTCTGCCTCAACTCTTTGCACAAGATAGATTCTTCCCCTGGGGTGCTCTTGTCAGCCTGGCTGCTCTTTGTGACCCTCCGCACTACCTGTGTGGCCAAGGTAGCAGTTGGTCAGAAGCACAGACGTCCTAGGTTTCTCTGTCTCCCCATTCACCCAGCCTCATGGTGGGTGGGGCTGGAGGAGGCACCCAATAAATACTTGCTGAATGAATGAACGAGGTCTGTGATGAAAAGCTGTGAGGCAAAATACCGGTGGTTTCTGCTGCACAATAGTCACCTATGAATACGTGATATACATTGCCCCAAACCCAGGCAGTTTACAAACCCATTCTTGACCTGGACGTGAAGGGTGAACAAGCCACATCACAAAAATACTCCTCCTTCTCCCCAGAGCTGCAAACACCCCCAACAAATGAAGGGCTTTGTTTATAAGCCCCAATCCCCCCAGCTGTGCCAAAATGCCTCCCAGAAGCAAGCAGATTAGGGTCTGCACTCCTTTCCATGGGCCAAGGAGGTGATCCCTTTCTGCTCTCCAGGCCAGGCCTGGCACGAGGAATGTTAATTCTGAACATTACATTCCAGGTACCGGTCTTCTCTGTACAGCTCTGGCCACTGGTGCCAGCAATAAAAATAAGCAGTAGAAGGAACGTCACCAAATCCCTTTTTGAGAAGATCAGCAGGTCTGGGGCCACCATGTCAAAGTCTAAGGCAGTGTTTACGCTGGAAGAAACCAGGGAGGCAGTGTGCCAAGTACTAACCTATGGGGACAAACAACCCACGAGTCATTTTATGTAAACGTGTGCATGGAAGAAACGCAGAGAAACAAGAGCAGGAAATATAGATTTTTTTCCCCCTCTTAAATTTTCTTCATATGCTTTTTGAACATCACAGAGGTGGGCATCGGATGGCACCTGACCACGCCCTGGGACAATATGCTCTCAGATTTGATGTTCCACTTCCCCTCAAAGCCTCTACTCCTCTCTGGGTCAGGAAGTGAGCTCTTCCAGCGCCCCTTTATCTCTGCTAACCCCAAACTGCTTAAAGCATCGCATCTCCAACAGATCCCCTCCTCCTCCCAGAGCTTCAGGCCCAGAGACCTACAGGGAGAGCAGGATTCAGTACTTCTAACAAGCTCCTTGTGAGGCTGCCGCTTGGTCCATGGACCACTCTTTGCAGAAAGGGTCAGGGTAGCTCATGTGTCCCCAGATCACCAGCAGCTGGGGGCCTGGCATGAGGTGCTTGGTTGGGGGAGCAGGAACTAATTCATAGCATTTGCTGATGATCATGGTATAAATATTTCCACCATAGCTGGTTCCAAACTACCACCATATTGTCCCACTGTGCAGGGCTGGGAAGAGGTGGGGACAGTTGGCTCTTATGAGCTGGTCTGGGCCATCCCCTATACCACTGGAGCCAGGTGCCATGGAGAAGGCTGCTCACACCCTGGGGCTGATCCACAGCACATCAGTTCCAGGAATGGGCCAGGCAACCACTTGAGTGCTCACCTATGACCTGTGTATATGTTTGTGTATCCGGGTGCATTCAGGATGAGACTCGCTGTGTCTACAGATCTCCTGGGAGGGACAGAAGCTGAGTGTCAGAGGTCATAAATTGTCAAGCACCTACAATTTGCAAAGCAAGTTTTGACATGCCAGGCACCGCAGTGTGGACATCTCCTGCACACCCCAGTGTTTCCAGAACCAGTCCTGATTGGTTGGTTTCCAGAACCCCTCCAGTGGGCTCCCGCTTCATGCCAGGTGTAGTGTGGTGCATTCCCTGCAGCTGCACAATCTTCAGAGCACTGCCACGGTCGGTCCCGTCCCTTTAGTTACAGACAGGAAACAAGTTCAGAGAAGAAAAGTTTGCTTGGTGGGAAGTAGCTGGGGCTCAAGCCACCTTTGTGCCCAAGCTGGGGCCATCTCCCCAGCGCCCTGCAGCTTCTCTGACACAGGACAAGAGCACTGTGTCAGATGTCACCACCTTCTTCTAGGACCCTCGAGACGGGGGGCTTCCTCCCATGGTTTTGACATGACCCTTGACCATGAAGGCACCTGGACACTCGAGGGGGCATGGCCAAGAGCCTGCAAGTCCACAGTGTCCTCCTCTGATCCCTTGTCCTTCTGGACCAGTGTCCTCTCTACATCTGTTCAGTATGCTCCAAAATGTGTGATGTCCTCCCTTGGCCCAGTGCACCCCACACACCTTGCCCTCTCCAGGAAATCTCCTCCCCCAAAGAAAAAGCAACCTCTTCTGTGCAGCCCCCAGGCTAACCCTCAGTCCTGAGCCGTCACTGAGGGTCTGAAGTGTAGCGCCCCACAGTGGGGAGGAGGAGCAACCAGTAGAACATGGTGGGCCCGCCTGCTGGGAGAAGCCTCCATTCATCTGCATGTTTGTGTCATCAGGACCTGGAAAACCTAGGGGTACCTGTGTCCCACCTCCAGAAACCCTGATT